TCTGGCCGGCACCGTCGGTTCCTTGTCCAGCGACGACGGTGGCGGAGGCGAGAGCACCGGTGCCAGTACCAGTGCCAGTTGCGGCGGCACCTCCAGCCTCGACGGTGACGGTGGTAGGGGCGGCAGCGGCGCCGGGGTCGACGGACTGGAGGTCTCCGGCGACGAGGCCGGTGCCGTTGGTCTTAATGGCTAGGCCCTTGAAGTCGGCCATGGTCTTGTCGCCAGTCTCGGCGGCGTTGATGCTGAAGACCATGCCCTTTCCGCAGTGGATGCCGTTCTGTTGCTTGCAGTAGAACCCTTGATGGTGTTAGCTTCGTTCATGTTATCACCAAATGTAGAAAACTTACAGAGCGGCTCTGTTGTCTCGACGGTCATGTTCCATGTGACACCAGCCTTGCCCTCGGGGTTGGGCATGAAGCCAGAGTCCATGCCTCCCTCCATCTTTTTGCAGGGCTCGGCGAAGGTTGATTGAGTGGCAGTGTGGTTCTTCTGCATGAATTCAAACACTACCATATCGCCGACGGCGGCCTTGATGGACTCGGGGTTGTATCCTAGTACGGGTGCCATACCAGTCTCGACGGGCTTGACTCCACCAACGACGACCTGTTGTATGTCAGACTGAGTTCAAGAGTAAGTAGTATGAGTGTACTTACAGTGTGCGTCATCGCGCCAGCTGCGACCTCGGGGGCAAGGCTCATAACCTGCATCTCGGCGGAGGCAAGTACGGCCGCTAGGGGTAGTGCTGTGAAGTACTTCATTATGACTAGATTGCGTATCGTGTAAAAGTGTCGTAAAAGTGAACGTAAGCCTGCGCTGCAAGCACTAGAATATACGATAGAAGGTTTGAAGGATTGAAAGGGCACTACGAGGGCCGGCTCGGACAGTAAGAAGCAGATGAAGTAAGAGAAAGAGACAGTGAAGCACTGGTATTATGAGGCAAGAGCGATGAGATGAGGAGAAAGTTTATGCCTGGGGATTGTCTATTCCTTAAATCCACGCATGAAATTGTTGGATTTGGAAGGCGTGCAGGCCGTTGCGCACATGGCGAAACACCAGCCCCTTGCGCTCGGCATGGCATGGGGGAAACGTTGATCGGCTGCAAGAATGGCGAGATTTTGGTGATGCGCACTTGCTTGGGCGCAATGGCGGGGGGTGTTTGGGACTTGAACCGTTGGAGGTGGGTTCGAGACTGTCGCGGTGGTGTCGCAGATCCGTCTCGCTTCTCGCCAGACAAGCCCAATGCGGTAATCTAAGAACCACCAAGGCTATAGGCGCAGGGACAGAACTAATCAGGATGCCTGGACTATGGGGCTGGGAACTCGTGAGCCGCATGGAAACTGCAGAGCTTTCATCTCGCAGCCTGCGTTCCCGAGGAGTTGAGGCACGAACTGTGTAGGTCGTCAGTCGCGTGCAGGGACTAGACCATGGCATTCCTCACCCTATTGGTTCAAAACAACGACTTTCAAGCCTCAATATGTCTGCTTCGTCTTCTAAACTCGCTCGGCAGCCACAGTGTGATGCGCACTGCCTCCAAAATGCGTCATTCTCTGGATCCTTTACTCAGTCGCTGGGGGCTCTTTGCGAGCCTGCTGCTGGCCAGCATGCAGACCAGTGTAGTAACCGGCATAGTACCAGGACATCATAATGTTCTTCATATTCTCGTCTTGCACTGTTCAGAGTTAGCAGCATGTCATCAACTGTCAAACTTCCACACCATCCGGAAGTAACGGCTGTCAAAATCACGACTTACCGGTTCCAAGGATGGCCTGCGGCATGGCATCTGCAAGAGTGCCGGCAGCATGTGGCACCGGAGGAGCCTCAGCACTTGGCGATTGGATCTGCGGTTCTTGCTTCCCGGAGAGATTTGGTTCCTGGTTCTCGTAAGACAGGGTTCGGTACTGGGCTGTTTCATATGTACACGTACCTGCGGCGGCGACGGACCGCTTTGAGCAACGCCATTGGTTTCTGACAGCGGCGTGTCTACATCTTCATGATCCGCGACACCACTGGTCTCTGCTGTTGCCGATACGGCCTCCGCTTCATCCATCAGGTCCCCGTATTCCCTAGAAACGTTAGTATCGTGATGTAAAGGCTTGGAGAGCTGCTTACCCCCGTGCTTCCTTTAGCTCTTCCTCCGTCAGGACGTCTTCAAGTTTCTTGCCTGATTGGTGGATACTGTGGTATTTCTGTTCTGTTTAGTCGATATCCTCGCGGAAACTACGAAAACGACGCGTGTAGAAACGTACCTTGTACTCATTCACCGCCTCATCCCAGGAATCGATTAGCAGAGAATCATCCCACGCGTTCTTGTCGCTCATGTCTACAGTGGGTGCCATGTTGAACTTTGGGTCTTCGGCGGTGTACAGAGCAGGTATAGTTAATAGCCAGGCAGATTGCTGTGAGGGCGTTCACTTGCTTTTGGTTTCAAGTATTTCGCTTGGTGTAAGGTGAGTATCTGGAGTTGTAGGTTAATGGTGAGGGCTGGGGACTATCTTGGCAAGTGTCCATTAGCGCGACTGCCACGAAAAAAGTTCCCGCGTCTGAGCTCTCCTCCGAACTTTTGCGCGTAACAACATTCGCGACCACACAGACCCCACGCCATTACACGAAATCACAATGGCTGTCCAAGACACCACAGGAAAGAAGCGCAAGGGTAAGTCATTGCGACGTTAATAATTCCCGATTACGGTGGCTAACTTGTCTCAGGCGCATCAGAGGCGGCGCCCAAAGCGAAGAAGCCGAGAAAGTCGGACGATGTCACGCCTGTCGAAGCCAAGCCAACGCGGAAATCTGCGCGCAAGCAAGCCGCCGACTTCATGGACATTGAAGAGGAAGCTGCGCCCGTCGCTGTTGCCGAGCCTGTCAAGACGAAGAAGGGAAAGAAGAGCAAGGCCGCTGCCGACGTCGATGCCGAGATGGCCGAGCCCGTCGCGGAGGTAGTCGAGGTCGCTGAAGTACAGGAGAAGCCTAAGAAGCAAGCGAAGAAGGGCAAGACCGCCGCCAAGCCCAACACAGAGGTCGCTGAGCCTGTCGCTTCCGTTGTAGAGGTCACTGAAGTGCAAGAAAAGCCGAAGAAGGGTGGCAAGAAGGGCAAGACTGTAGTCGCAGAGGAGACCGTCGTAGCAGAGGCCCCTAAGGAGAAGGCCAAGAAGTCCAAGAAGGGCAAAGCTGCTGAGGCCGAGCCAGTTGAGGACGCTGTCGCCGTAGTAGAGGAGACTACTGCAGTCGCAAAGCCAGCGAAGGCAAAGGGAGGAAAGAAGCAGAAGGTGACTGAACCCGAGGTCGAGGTCACCGAGGTCACAGCGGCGGAAGACGACGCAGACGATGCTGCCGAAGACGACCAGACGGCAGCTCTCCTCGCTGGCTTCAGCGACTCCGACTCAGATGACGCAGATGAGGACGTCAACTTTGACGAAGAAGCAAAGGTTCCCAAGCTCAGCGCAAAGCAGCGGAAAGCGATCAAGCAGGCCGAGGCGGCACCCAAGTCCAACCAGCCTGGTGTCCTCTACGTTGGGTATGTGGACCAGTCCATTATATACTACATGTTGCTAACAATGCGTTTAGTCGTGTGCCCCGCGGTTTCTTCGAGCCCCAGATGAAGCAGTACTTCTCGCAATTCGGCAAGGTCAACCGGTTACGCTTGTCACGCAACAAGAAGACTGGTGCTTCCAAGCACTTCGCTTTCGTCGAGTTCCAGTCCGAAGAAGTCGCTGACATCGTCGCACGAACAATGAACAACTACCTACTGTTCGGTCACATCCTTAAGGTCCACCTTATTCCTGCTGAGCAGGTACACCCCGACCTCTTCAAGGGTGCCAATGAGCGGTTCAAGGTCGACCCTCGTAACAAGAAGGCTGGTCTCGAGATGGAGCGCGGTGTTGAGCGTGCGCAATGGGAGAAGCGCGTGGAAAACGAGAACAAGAGAAGGACAAGCAAGGCTAAGCAGCTCAAGGAGGTCTTTGATTACGAGTTCGAAGCACCAGCGCTCAAGACTGTCGACAGCGTCCCTAAGCACACCAGCATCACTACGCTCGAGGCCGCGAAGCCCCAAGAGCTTCTTACTCAGGCGGCTACTGAGGAAACTACAGCTGCTGAGCTCCCCAAGGCCAAGAAGGGCAAGAAGGGCGCCAAGGCTCAAGCAGCACCAACACCTACAGAGGTTGCTGAGGTCACAGAGGTAGTCGAGGCTGTCTCACCTGCGCCAGCAAAGAAGGGCAAGAAGGGTGCCAAGGCCAAGCCTGTCGAGGCAGCTGAGATCGTGGTGGAGGAGGTTGCCGCGCCTGCCCCAGAGAAGAAGACCAGGAAGCGCAAGTCTGATGTCACAGTTGAGACTACTAATGTTACCGAGGAGACCGTCCCAGAGGTAACGCCCAGGAGCAAGCGAACCAAGAAGGAGAAGGTCGTCGTCGAGCCCATCGTCGAGGAGGTCGAGGAGAAGAAGACCGCTGCCAAGCCTAAGAAGGCCAAGAAGGCGAAGGCCTAAACGCGCTGATATCAGCTCTGACAGCTGTCAGCTTCGTTCTACATGTTTAATGGCCGCGGCAGTTTATGACTTCCTGCATTCGACCACCTGCACCATTCTTCATCGATGAGCCGGCGTTACGTAGACAAAACGTGGTTTTAGCGTATCCATACCAATGCAGCATTCAACCATCCACCGCACGTTATGCGTGTTTTTCACATGCCATCCACCTGATTTGACGTGGTACTGCTCAAGTGGGCACTTCCCCCCTGGTCTTTTACTCCACATTTAAACCTCATGCAGAAGGAGCAACAAAATATATTCGCGCTTACACTCGCTACCTGTCCAGACCTGGAAAGTTTCCGTAGAGTGGATCGCGTCTCTAGTAGGCACGAGATGGGGCTCGTATAAGATGACAGTGCTTCCTACGCCAAGATCTCCATCACCTCTACATTGCTCATACTCTGTCAATAACATTTGTGCATTTACCCCTCATCGCTTCCAATTTCCCATCTCCATTCATATCCATCACTTCAAAATGGCAGAGAACGACGCACGCCTCGCGGCATCGCAAATGTACGAGTCTGTCACATCCTTACCCCCAGCAAAACGCCACATCATCACCCACAACGCAGAGGGTAAAAGCACTGTCCATTCGAGCCCGACGTTACAGTACTACGGATACCCAGGTATCGGTGGAACATCTCGATCATGTACGTCTTAGCCATACCAGCAACCCACTGGAGAAAGTAAACCGACACCATACACCACCGACATATCCACGAAGTAGACATACTAACACGAACACCCCCAATCAGACGCCACATCCTCCATCCCAGCTTCCCTCCAAAACGACCAGGACATCTCTGCCTACACACCGCAAGAAGGAGAATCAAGCTACACAGGCCGCAGCATCGTAGCCAACGGTTCTGGTTCCCACCTCATCGTCTGCGACCTCGCTCCTGGGCAGGCTAGTCAGATGCACCGCACTGTGTCCATTGACTACGTAATCTGCACCCATGGCGATGTCCGTATGGAGACTGCGACTGGGGAGATGGTGGATTTGAAACCTGGTGTACGTACTCCTTCTTTCGTGCCTTCCTGTCTTTATCGATTTTCCAGGTCCTTAGGCAGCTGTCGAGATGGCTGCGGGATTTTGATTTATGATTGCTGATGGATTGGGAACAGGATCACATTATCCAGCGAGGCACGATGCACAAGTGGCATAATGCGTCGGAGACTGAGCCGGCGAGGTTCATTGCTATCACGTTGCCTGCGGAGCCGTTTCAGGTTCCGGGTACGGGGGAGATGCTGGCGGAGGAGCATGTTAAGGGGAGTGAGGCTAAAGAATGGGGTGTTAGTAAGATCTAGATGAGTGGGTGGGGATTTGGGGAAAGATGTAGAGGTAGCTAGGTTGTGGAAGACACAAAGCCAGCATGAGAAGATTGATGCAGGGGAAACATGTACTGCATCGAAAATGTTCGTTATGAGGTCACGTTAAGTAGTAACAGAGGATACTAGACGTTCAAGGATTTCATTTCGCTAATGATGTAACACAAAGACCACACATACAACCCTTATTTTGCCTCGCCGCTGCATTATCGATGACAACTAAGCTTACAAGGTATAACGAATCTAGCCTGTACCCGATACTGCGAGCTTCATAAGATGGTCCATGAAAGTCTGCAGACTGACATCGTCGGTGAAGATGGTCTGAGCTGTCGCAGCACCGCCATAGCTGTTGGTTTGATGTGTGGTCGAAGGGTTGAGCTTGCTGAGCAGGAAACGAGCTTGTGAACCGCCGGCATCACAGACGATGAATCGAGGCAACGGGAAACGATCCTGGATGAGCTCCTTAGCATCCTCTTTCGGTGCCTCCAGGAGCTCCCTGAAGTTCTCATAACCTTCTTGCTCTTGGTATCCAGCCTTCCGCCACTCGGCCATTGTTTCGCCGTGGAAGATGAGAATGTGGAAGAATGTGTCGAGCAATAGCACCGTTTCGTTCTGGATGGAGCTAGAGTCGAGCAGGACAGGTTGACCACCTTCGTGGTCGAAACCGTAGCTGTCTAGTGTTGGCTGGATCATGATGAGGGAGTTGCTAACATCCTCGTGGTTCAAGACGTGGCGGTAGAAGGCGGTTTCGTCTGGCGAATTGTTGAAGACTTGCAGGAACTGCGACCGACGAAGATGGAACATGAATTGCGGGTATAGTGTGAAGTTCTTCTCGAGCCTGATCGAGTAGTTAGTATCTGATATTGAAGGGAGAACTATATGTCCAAAGTGATGAAAGACTTACCTGAATGACGACGGGTCATCTTTCCTGTACTCGGCGAAGCGAGCACATAGTCGGATAAGCATGCGATCGACCCATCGGAGGACGTCAGGGCCATCGTCGACCTCAGCCTTGAAAACTGCTATCCTCGACATGAGGACAGCAGCAGCTTCTTGATCGAAGGACTGGGCGATAGCAGGGTCGCCAGATGGACCGCTCATGGGTCGGGCCACGGTGGTAACTGTGAATGTTTAGTATGCGCGCTTACTTTGGACACGTTTCAGGGAGGTCATACCTCTCAAGTGATACTGGCCAGCGGAGTGCTGATAGTATGTGAGGAACTGAATAAGAGCCTGTTGCTGCGAAGAGGTCACGTTGGACCCGCCTTGGTTGGCAATCTCGAAATAGATCGAGTACGAGGCTTCAGGGTCGATACCACACATTTTCCAGGCGCATGTGTTTCCAATACCGCATTCCGTCTCACCAACAGAGACAGACTTCTTGTTCTGCGACACAGCGTGTCCAATAAGACCAGTGATCTTCAACTCTCTGGTTGTCAGCACCTCAAATTCGGCATTGAATCCCATGAGGAGGTTGTCGTCCGCATCCTTGTTGAAAACGCGCACGAAGGATTGCTTGTACATGGACGAGGTGAAACTATCCGTCAGAATCATGTGTCCACCAGTGTTGTTTGCAAGACCCCTCATCTCAAGAAGACCGACCTGATCCAGACATCCGGCAAAGATGTCAACAATGTGACCGTTGTGGGAAATGCGCTTCGCAAGGCCCTCGTAGAACTTCAGTGCCTTCTTGTAGTACTTGATGTTGTCGCGGTCGATGTCGTGGTGCGATCGGATGGGCTCGCGCAGCTCGGGGCCAACAACCATACCAGGTCCCTCGGTGGCTGGACCACCGCTAAACAACATGATGCGGGCGGCACTGTTCATGAAGCTCGTCTCCAGGAGTCCAGCAGCGACGCTGAGCGCCACACCGGTGCACCTCAAGGGACGCTTGTCGTTCGCGACAGGCCAGGGGTCCCGTTGGATTGATTCGAGAGCGTTGGTCAACTGCAATTCGCACTGCGATACGGGTAGGATGAAGCGCGTGCCAACGCCACCTGGAGCGCCCATAGGTGGTCGTCCAGGCTGCTGTGGAACACCAGGTCGAGGAGCCATCTGGCTAAGGCCTAGCATCTCGTGCACTTGCTTGGTGGAGTAGTCCTTGCTTCCGCGGAAGACGTACGACTTGGCGCATTCGGTGTAGCCCAGCTCGTGTACTTGTGTCTATGGCTGTCAGCTTATGAAACTCATTGTAGCTTCCTGTACCTACCATTGTACCGTAGGTGACCAGACCAACCAGCGCGTATGCTGGGAGCAGGCTCAAAGCCATGATGATCGAGTCCTTCAGCGCCTTCAAGCTGTCTTCCTCTTGACATGTGTCTACCACGAAAATGAAGATGGGCGGGCTCGGTATGGGTCGGGGAAGGCGGTATTCGATCGTGGTACTGTTCGGGTGCATCTCTGGGGGCATCTGCTGGTTGGAGATGTCCTTGTAGTGCGGGGGCAGGTGATTGCGGTTCAAGCAGAAGGGGCATATCCATTGGTTGGCGCGCATGTCAATTTGACTGTCTCAATGTCAGCTTGAGATAAGTTGCAAGAGACTATGCCAGGCATACCAGTAGGGGTTGAGGATAGCTTTGCATGGCGCCCTGCAGCTGACAGGCTCATACTGGAGCAACGGAGTGTCCGTCTTCTCCTTGAGAGGCGTGTAGTGTGCACCAATTGGAACGACTAGGCGGGAAGCTTCCTGTAGACCGCATCAGTACGTTGCGTCCCTCGCGCCGACATCGTCTATCGTACCATGCGCGTGCTGGGAAACGTGTTCCAGCTGAGACGGACGCCATCCCTGTCTTCAATGTCGCTCCACTGGTCCTTGAGCGCCTCGAAGTCGGCCATGCTGGGCGGTTGCAGCTATCTGGGCTGCGCGAGGAGGTCTGGGGTGGGTGAAGGTTGTCGAAGGTTGGTGGTGGAGGGACCGAGGGCGCCCACGATGGGAGATTTGGCGGGGCGGTGTGAAGTGTAGCAGGCGCGAGACGGGCAGCTGTAGTTGTATGCAGCAGAAGATACCGAGACGTGTCAAGTGTTCCTCCCTCAAGGCAACAACTGCACAGGATAATGCAACGTCGTAGGAAGCTCACGCACTTGAACTTGCGTGGATACCTCAGTTGGCGATGCGGCCAGATGTTCTTGCCCTAGCGCTCCCAATTGGGCCTAGCACCACCGAAGCTCCGCTCCGCCCCAGCCTCAAAACCACGATTTTCCTCGCCGTCGCTCTTTTTCTCTTCATCATCGCCAGCAACAAATACACTACGTAATGGCAGACTCTCATTTCTCTTATGAATGAGCCTGTTTTCGCGCTGCGCGAAGAAGAGATTTAGACCCATGGCTGGGCGCCCGATCTGGAAAACTCATTCTGAGTATACTGATAGGTTGGGAATCAGCAGAGGTCACATTCCATCATCGTGCAGTCTTCGTCAGTAGAATCTCGTGGACCTTTCGTCTGGTTCTGAAGGAAGCCTTCAAGGCAGGCATCTTTCAATCCGCGTTGTCGCGCGACGTGTTCTTTGTACCGTACCTATTGTTGACCATGATCCAGACTCTTGCTGAAAGTAACGTCAACTCGATCACTGTAGTCTCCAGGCAATCATACACGTTACTTCTGATGCTCAGACCCATTCATGGATCCTTCTCTCAAGAGAGCCTACGCTTGTCAACAGCCAGACGATATGACGACATTTAAGGGCTTCCTCGACGCGTTTGTAAAGCAGATTCATGTCCTTACGCGGGTGCGAAAGCCCCAATCACTAGGTTCCTGGTCGAGCGATCCGTTACGAGGCGAGTCTGGCCGTCTTGATCCTGTCAGAAGTGCCCGATGGATATGTTGCATTTGGACTTCATGTAGCATATACTACCACACACCCGTCGACCACGATCATCCAACGCAGTCTATGGATCCAATTACACATTGCCGGAGACACGTCCGATGTTCCCGCTGGAGCCTCCGGATCTGCAGCTGTGTTTGGACGTTACCGAACTCCTGATATATTAACAATCTGAGTCCGATCGGGTAAATGCATCGCAATACACTAGCCCCATCACCTGCCAGCGTACTGTACGACGGATTAGAATTTGGATATATATGTATTTACAATGTTTGTAGCAACTCTGACTTGAACCTCCCCTGTATTCTCCAGATCTAGTCAATGCTACAGTCCATGATCATGGCTCGCACTTCCGCACTTCTCATCTCGCTTCTTGCAGGTCAAGCCTGCGCTCACACTTTCATCTGGGTATGCCCAGTCACTCCTAAACCCCTAGGTCCCATACTAACACCCCCAGGGCGTCTTCGTCAACGGCATAGACCAAGGAACCTTCAAAGGCGTCCGCATCCCCGCCTACAACGGCCAAAATGGCAAAGGCGGCTACAACAACTCGCCCGTCAAAGACCTCGACTCCATCGACATGCGCTGCAACGTCATGGGCGACATCCAAGCCCACGACACCATCAAAGTACAGCCTGGCGACAATCTAACCTTTGACTGGCACCACGAGAACCGCAACAACAAAGACGAAGTCATCGCTAACTCGCATCACGGCCCTTCGCTCATCTACATCTCGCCTGACCCGCCGACGGAGAACTCCTTTGTCAAGATCTGGCATGAGGGCAAGTTCGAAAGTAATCCGTTTCCGCAGGCGGGCAAGTGGAGTACCACTGGTGATATTGCGATGAACTATGGTCATATGAATGTTAGAGTGCCGGAGGGGCTGAAGGCAGGACACTACATCATTCGTGCGGAGATGGTTGGTCTGCATGAGGGCGATGTGAGCTATCTCGCGAACCCGAAGAGAGGCGCGCAGTTCTACCCCGACTGTGTTCAGATCGAGGTTGAAGGGGATGGCGAGGTGGAGTTGCCTGAGGGCGTGAGCTTCCCTGGAGCGTACTCTTATGAGGATCCTGGTGTTGTGCACAACGTGAGTTCCAATCTACCTGGTACAGGCTCATACCCCGGTCGCTGACATGATGCAGGTATACTGCTCCACCGAGACAAGGAAGCCGAAGACTTCAACCACTCCCTGCGTTACCGACTACGTCATCCCTGGACCTACCGTATGGTCTGGTGCTTGGGCTGAGACTACTGCAGTTCCAGTCGGAACTGTCGATGGTGTTACAACAGCTACTGCTTGGAGCACATGGATTGGTACCGATAGTGTTGTTACGAGCGCGACGTATGCGGATGTGAAGAGTCAGACGATTGTGGGAAGTTCGAAGTACACTGCGAGTTGGAGCGACACGTATGCTACGCCTACCGCAACGGCTGCACGTTGGTAGATCGTAGCTGCGAGGATATTTGCGACGGTATGACGCAGAAATGAATGCATTCGTTCCGCTAATAGTCGTATTCAGTTCATTTCTGAAAAGATTTCCATTTCGTGGTCTTTTGAAGAAATTTTGAACTCATTCTCTCCCAGGTGCTTTTCGCCAATATCATGTCTCTTACCAGACCCCAGATTGTAAAGCAAAGCTCACATCGCCGCATTGAACCACGCGGCATCAGAACCCCAATTTTCTCATCTGACCACTGCCCATGCTGTTCAGTCATCCAGGATTATGACTTCAGGCTTGCGCTTCTTTCCCTGTCCGCGCGCAGCGCCGTCATCGGTATGCTCGCGCTTGATACGCACTCGTGATTCACTGGGGTCCGCCTCTTGCTTGGTAGGTACCTGCTCATTGTCCTTGTCCTGCAGATGGTCAGCGCCGAAGAGACTCAAGGTTCCTGTAGTCTTACCTCATAATGCTTGAGTAGTACTAGAAGTCGCTTCCGATTTTGACCAGTCAATCCCTTGTCATTTCCGCGGTAGTGCTTGATGAGCGCAATGATGTCTTCATCTGTGAGACCGTCGTGCTCGTTGGGAGTGGGCGAAATGAATTTGGGCTGCGGCGGAGCTGGTGTGGCACTGGCAGATTTGGGCCGCGGGGTGGCAGAGGGTGATAAGATGTTTGGGACATTGTTGGGTGTCGGCTCGGGTGAGGCTTCCTTCTTAATCAACGCTGGCTCTGGAATTGGAGAAGGACTTGGTGAGCGCGGTACAATGCCGAGAGACTTGAGTGCGGCTGTTGACGTGTGAGCTCTGTGATTGTGTAATTCTGTCAATGACTTACTGATCGAGCGATACTTGAACTGGAATGTAACGAAAGGCTCTTTTTCCTTCGCAAAATCAATTCGTGAAGGGGGTTTTATCGTCTGACTTGCAGCGAGCCTATACCAGCATTAGCATGGATTGGCGATACCAGATTGTGCAGTTACTTTATTGAATGAGAGCGCGAGTCGTCCTTGAAATCCTCTTCGGATATTGGCCCAATCATTCCCAAAGTCACCTTCCTACTGATTGGACGTGGCGATGGTCTCTTGCTCAGAATCTTTGTTAATGTGACGGATATGATCCCCACCGAGCTGAGATTCTCTTCGCAGGCGGTTCCTTTGCTGTTTCCCACTTTGATGTGTCAGTTTCTGTATCTCCGCATGTGACAGCTCCAATGCAGCCTTTGATAGGAACTCGCATACCGAAATTGAGGCTAGAGAAGAGAAACTTAGATGCCCGCCATTCACCATTTTCCTTCCATTTGTGCTGAGATTGATCGTAAACCCCCGTCAGCATCGCAGGCGGCTGTGCAACTTGTGAGTGCACTTTTGTTCCGTCCAAATAAGCGACAATCGATGTGTCCATCGGCTTAAAAGGTGAGGTGAACTTCGTCCTTATCGCAAATTCCGCACCAGACCGGCACTCCACGTATCGCGTGGTTGTCTCAGGCACATCTTCCTCTTCCAGGTTCTTGTATTCTTCAAGTGGTTTGCCGTCGCCGTATATCTCAACCGTCAGGCCGGGGTAGTCGGCATGGATCGCCATGTTGATGTTGTAATTCGATTTGAGAGACGGTGATAATGGCAGAAGGAAAGAGGTGGGAGAGAAGGACGCTGAATGTATATGAAGTCAAATGTACGCTAGCGTGTGGCGACAGCCAGGTAAAGGTGGTATGGCATGCCGGTTGGGTTTGATGTGAGTGCGTGTTCCCGAGAGAGTGAGAGATATTACGCATGCATTGCGAGTACAGGTATATTACGTTGGATCTAGGGACAAGTGATGACGGGAAACCAATTTGCAAGTGTTACCATCTACTGCAGTAAGTCGCTATTAAAGAGGTGTTGAGGGTGATAGTATGAGCATCTGCATTCTTCACCAGGTCTCATCATGTCCTTATCCCGTCAGCTCCCACCGAGGGACGCCATAATGGACAAACTTTTGCACGGCCAAAACACGCTCTTAGTCCAGAACGATGACCTCGTCATCCGCACCACGGTGACGCTTCCGGTCTCTAGACCTTACAACCGTGACCCCCTCGCCATCGCTGGGTTCAACAGCCTCATCGACCCGCTTGCGCTTGTCTACGGCTTCTTTCTTAACCTTGACTGTAGCAGCCTTTTGCTCCTATAGTAGTGAGTATATGGTATTGTAGATCTGTACCATTAACATACCTTGAGCTGCTTCACGAGTTCGCGTAGTTCATCCGGAGTGAGCTCATCTTCAGGCCGCTCTTCTAGAGGTGGAGGAGTGGGCTCGCGTGGGACGAGACCCAGGATCCGAAGAGCATCTAAGTGGGTCAACCGATGCCATAGCCTTTTGCAGATTGCTTTAACGTACCAATGGAGCGATACTTGAAGTTGAAGGTAGCGAACGGAGACTTCGTTACATAGTCATAATCCCAGAACGTTCCACGTGCATGCGCAACAGGCTCGGACACACTACGCATATCAGCACTACCTTCACAGAATACATAATAACGTACCCAGCTCGATGAGTGTGTGTCTGTCCTTTCAGTGCCTTCTCAGGAACCTGTTTCGATGCCGAAATACTCTCGATGATGTGAGCTGGAGAGGACAACCGCAGATTTTGTATGTACGTAAAGCCGACAGTGATAGCGCCAATTAAGGTCAAATCAGGAAGGAATGTGCTACCCTCAACTTCAGAGTCATTAGCTCAGCTCTGACATTGAAAAATTAGATGCAAGATGAGTCCTCCGCAGTGCACATACCGATTTCCAATTCGGCAAAACAGAACTTCTGTATTTTCGGGTGCCCACCGATCTGGATGCTACGGCCCTGGTATAGACGTGTATGATAGAAGCGGTCTTCGCAGTTCATTCCTTTATGGATCACTCGTCCATCAAGGCTGATCCTAGCTTCCACGTCACCTTTTGGGAAAGGATATCCTTCGGTAAACGAGACTTTGATCGCAAAATTAGCCCCAGATGTTGCTTCGACGTACTTTGTGACCGTCGTCGGCGAGGCGGAAGTGTCGCTATTGTCGTCATACTCGGGCAGGGGAGCGCCGTTGACGAAGATCTCCACTGCAAGGCCGGGGCAGAAAGGAAGAACAGCCATGGTGGAGTAGACGATCTGGAAGTGAGTCGTGTTGCTGGTGGGAAGGAAGAATGATGAGAGATGTCGAAAGTAGACTGCTAGAAGTCATTAAATACCGACGACTGATGAGGCGTAGTGAGAGAGATAGACTAGACGTGAACGAAGGTAGCGCACGGTGCTGGAGGAGGTAAAGGCATCTATCGTATTAACAGGTGCTGGCATGTTGTAAGTACATGAGTGGTGATTAAGTTTTCCCGAGTGGCTATCTCTAAATATTCCTAAATATGTAGAAAGATATGTCCTCCTAAGGCGATTAGCCTAACCGTTCACATACGCCTCTAGAGGCGGTTCCATGCATCAATACTTTGGCAGTATACCTCCATGCGTAAGATTCGAGTTGGCCCAGGGTTTGGAGTTCGCTCCCACTTCGAAGTAGACGGTCTTTTGGAGTTTTGACACCACCTTGGGCTCAGCGCCGTGAAGACGGAATGAATATCCTCTCTCAGTCTAACACAATAATTTCTCGCTCCACGTGCGGACGTTTGCGCTTTCGCGTCTCGACATAGGTCACTTCGTCGTCATCATCGATGGTCCTCTCGCGCTTGACTCCGGTAGTGGCTTCGTCTTCGGTCTTGATAGAGGTGCTCTCTGACTCTCGCTATATATACGTAACTATTAACGCCAGAGACATGCGGCGCATACATACTTGTTGCGCACGATTTAGCAGTTCTCTCAGCTCTGCGGGCGACAGATCTTTCGCGAGTCTGTCGTCTAGGGGGACAGGAGGCGCTTCGTTCATGGAGACAAGATGAAGTGCTTCTATGCTCGCTTGAAAGTCATAAGTGTCAGCGGGCGGCACCATATGAGCGTGATCGTGACTCACCAAGCGACCGATATTTGAAGTGAAAAGTCGCAAATGGCTTCTTATCTACAAATCTGTACAGTGTACGTTGAGGACCAGAGGGTTTTGAGTTGTATTTCCGAGGCTTTGATAGGCTTTTAAAAAGTCAGTTCTTTGCCAATCAACAAGTTTACCCACTCTTTACGTACACTGCTTGGTGCGATAGGGCGTCGCCTTTAAGCGCCTTCTCTGGAATCTCTTGGAGCGCTGCAAGTTGCTGGTGTATATCGTCACTGTAACTTAACTCGTCTATGCTCATCTCTTGGGTAATTTTGACGAAGTTGAGAGATATAGTAATACAGCCTTTAATGCTGAGAATCTGCTCCAGAGCAACAATATCAGGCGCAGTCTTATCAGCCTCTTCTACTGCACAAACCGTAAGTGGATGAAATCAAAAGGTCCTCATAGTACTTGCTAATGTTCAGTTTGGCGAAGGTGAATTTCTGTTTGACCCGCTTGCCGCCTTGGTAAGAACGATATGTTCTGAACCATTCGTCTTGGAAAAGTTCATCTCGCTTGCGTATCCAGGTCATCCCTACCCCGTCAATACATACTCGAGCCAGGACATCATGATGATCTGGGAAGGGAGGCCTGTATTCAGCCACGATCGAGAACTCCTTGCCTGAGCGCGCTTCAATGTACTTAGTAATCGTGTTTGGTGCAGCGTCTTTGTCGTCGTCGTCATACTCATGCAATTGCTGTCCGCGAACACAGATCTTGACTTCCAGTCCGGGATGCTCGGGGAGAATGGCCATTTCACTATGCCTTATCAAGCGATCCGCTAGAATTCGAGTCCAGGCCCGCGGTGATTCAGGACCTAGGGCGAAGAGGCGCTAAGCGTGACGCATCGGTGAAAGCGTCAGTGTGAGATGTAAGTTGGGAACCCAGACGAGCGGCAGGCAGTCTTTGGTTGTAGTAGGTGAGTCCGGTGAGGAACGCGAAGACTTCAGCTGAGATGGAAGCAGTGAGACTGCTGAAGGCTCGATATTCAATGTTTGCTCTATACCGGATGCGGCAAGGCGGGATGGCTAGCGCGTGGTGAGAACTGTTGACGGGCAGGAGCGTTGGCAGGAGCGTCCGCTTCAGCACCCTTGACTTTTCGAGGTCCGACAAAATTAGTACACTCGGAGCTGACCAGAACACAGTGGAGGATGTCGAGATCGCTGGTCATTTGGGTGCCATCGTGCGCGTTCACTGAGGCGGAAGCATAGACTCACCTCGCGTACCGCGTGCCAGCAATGCAAGTACCGAGAAGTCGAACGTGGTAAAGCGAGGCATGCTCAGCTTTCGAGATGGTATGACCTAGACCTCATCTGATATGGCGGGTGCATCTCCTCTGTGAAGAAGACGGCGAAGTAATCAACCAAGAACGAAGCATCGTGGCACGGGTTGCACTGGGAAAGAGCCGCCTCGAACAACAAGCATGCGATAAGTAAATCAGACATCTACGGTAAGTTAGCTACTCCATCATAGTATAACTTACAATGCATTAACCTCGCAGGTGTAGCTAGCAAAGGAATGACTGACCACGTAACATTTGAGTTTTGGAATGCCTCCCCAGGCTGGTCATAGACTGTGAGAGGCAGCAGATAATGTTGTTGCTAGAGACGAAGCGAATTCGTACGATGTTGAGCTCAAAGGTAAGGCTACTGGTAAAGATCCCGCTCTCCATGTCTTTGGTATATCTGGCAGTCTAGATCTTTGGCGCGAAGCTGGTCGTTTACAATCAGTGCTGATATCGAACGAGAAACTCGTAGGCTTCGAAGAGAAACGTCCAACCCTCACTCGCAAATGAACATCTTCATGTGGCCCTGAAAGACTCAAAGCAGAACTATAGAGATGGTGATCAGTGAGAAGAGGGGGGAGGAGCATACATTGCGGGGTCGTTGAAAACAGCTACACTAAAGCAATGATATGCATGATAGACCATCCAACTCTGAACATCACATGTATACAAAAGCTCTCTATATCTCAAAACTCCTCACATGCCTGCGAAGACCAAGATCGCTGCTAAGGCATCAACAACATTAACGCTAATGCCCATGTACACGTGGAATCCAGTTCCACGGTACATTTTCGCCGATAGTCATCCAGCATACCTAGGCCACCTTACATACAGCCCAAAAGCTTACACCTCCATCAAGGATCAAGGCTTGCGAGGCTGACATGCAGGTGGCCAAAGCCTACGCGGCCCCAAACGAGCAGCGCTGACAGTGTCGCCATGTGGAGACACACTACTGATCGCAGATTAGCGAGAGAACAAGATCTGAGAAAGCGCAACCCACAGACAGAGGGCTTAGCGCACGAACACCCGTATTGAGACCCGCGTTGAGCGTACCGTTGCCTAAACCATCGTAAGCTAGCTTGCTTACCATCATCAGCCTCGCAAGTGGCTCGTAACGTGGACTAGCTGCCTGCACCCGGCTATTTTGCGCCGATGGTGTATAGGATTCTCGTATGCAGTGCGTATGGGTTTACTTCGGAGCAACGACGGACCTTCAACCGACTGCGACAAAGATTCACGATCTGTCAGCGCTGAGTAACGCATGATTAATTTGCAAAGGGTCGCGTGGAATCCGGAGATAACGCAACTCCGCGCGTATTCGCGCTTAAAGTGTTTCTCGGCGTAAAGTCGCTTTATGGTGCGGCCGAGGTGATGCCACCGGTTAACGAAAGAGGAAGCAGGAATGCTTTTGCAGTGTTGAGGTCCAACAGATTGCGGAGAATGCAGTCAGCGCAGAGGGTGTGGTGAGATTTGACTCGGCAGATCTCCGAACTCGACCGACCGAACGACCGGATGAACTCCGCATCGCGGTATCGGTGTCGCAGGATCCGCTAGATCAGGTCGCATCTCCAGTGACAAAGAAGCAATTATCTTGGTGATGCATCAGTCAGGAGAGCGGTTGTGACTACGCGCATGACGGATGACGTTGCAAACCAGGTCCCGAATGCCATGAGGCACAAAACCGGAAACGGTCGACGCCCTGTTACATTTCCAAGCCTCACGAACCCCAAAAGAACCGTTGGGTGGAAGAACATCGGAAGGCGTTTGCCCTGCATATGCGAGCAGGACTTGTAAAATTCTTCTCCCGGCAGATGGAGAACAGATAAGAGCATAGGAATAGAAATCCCTGAGAGAGCATTGCTATGCTACCCATACATACTTGAAGATGTATAGTGACCGGTGCATCGAATATGTCACAGCTGCGTTGTGAGTGGAGAAGTCACAAACACGCGACTATCAGGCCTCAGGCGTCATGATCGGCAGTCATGCTTCCTGTCATAGCAGGTGGACCAGCAGAAACTTTGTCGAAAACAAGCAGACGCAGGGTCTCATCATCCCGCGCTCGCGGATTGGCGGGCACAAGGGCTAGGGATGGTGCCCGCTCAGCCGTTGGCGATCGATGACCACATCGGGCGAGCTTCGAGAAGTGATGGGCAGTTTCAATGACCAGCAGGTTGTCGACTAAGACGTCAGGGAAAGGATATTCATTGGGGACATATTGCTTCGCAAAAATAGAAGCGCGAAGCAGGAGTTCTGCACGGCAGTCGTTTGGGATGGATGGTGAGGGAAGGGATGGTGAGGAGACTTCGGAGAGATGATGTCATGGACCCTCGTAAGCGACGAGATAGCATTTGTTCGGTCCGACGGAGATGGACGCAATACGAATGCGACTGCAAGGACACAGTATTCCCCATGGCATGAGAATGCAAAATATGAAAGAAGAACTCGGGTTGTGGCATAGAAGGATACAGAAGCCTCGGGTGGCAGGGCGCCGGCTTAGAAATGTGGCTAGTAACTTCGACGCGCGAATGAACGGTCCAGATCACCTCGCGGCCGCCGGAACAGTTACATTGTCCGTGCATACGATAGGGCTGCACTGCCACATGGTGATGCGATGGACCCTGCATTTGTGTCCTTCTCCACCGATCTTACCCGTTCGAGGCCGTCGATGCGATGCCACGTTGGTTTTAGGGCTGCATTGCAACTCCACAGGATGCTTGCAGCACGTTGCATATGCCGTTTGTTCAGCAGGGAGAGTCTCAGTGAAGAGTTTTCCTTGTGCAACCTTGGCTGTACTCGACCTGTGGCTGTCTGGATGTTGCACGGCAGTGCCGTTGTTGAGTAGAGGATGCTGCCAGTGCCGAAGCGGAAGTGGAGGTTCCACCTGCAGGATAGACGGTATCTGAGCTGACCTCGGATGCTAGTAGTATCGCAGCTGGTAGGTGCACATCCCAGTTTATTGGTTCGTGGATCGATCTCCAGTTTCAGCATCTCTTGAAGAGATGTGCATTGTGCTAGCCAGCAGAGTGGTCCTCGGGAGCCGTTTGGCCACCAGATCCAGCTATCAATAGTACAGAGTATGGGGTAGGCTATTGACGGTTATCTCTAAACGATACGGCGTGGCCTTGCGTTCAATACACGCGAGCTGAATGTAGTATCATATCACGGCTTTGGGCTCTACAATCCAACCATCAAAGAGCAGCTGTGAGTCACGCGCGAGGACATGTGACCACTGTACAGGCTGGCCGAGGTGTGGCTGGTGCCCGTCGCGTACTCCATCTGGTATTCGTAATGCACATGCGCTGTCGAGTAGGTTGTGCATGGAACGATGCTGCTCAGCCCGTCTTGGAGCATCGTAGTCCCAGCGAGCCTAAACGGCCAGCTGCTAGACCAGATACGGGCGTGTCACCATGGACAGACCTTTGGAATTGGTCCGTCGCACGATGCCCTACAAGCTACATGCCGACTGCACACTAGAGCGACTGGCACAGCGATGAGTAACGGTTCGGTTCGTAGGGCTCCGTTTCACGTGGAGAGCATGCCTGCAGAGATCGCCTAGATGGGCACAAGCGATTGCACAGTATTTTGGGAGCAAGTCATGGACGCTGGGGGAAGGCCTCTCGGCTGGTATCCGAAGGCATGTGGAAAATTCTGTATGGTAGACAGTCGTCTGCCGGGTTCTGCACAGCCTTCGGTCGGACAGGGCCCGCGGCGGCCGTATGCAGGGTGCGTGAGGGTGGTGTCGATCGCGCCGCTTTTGCGCGTTGGCGTCATGTTAGCGTAGACACCCCTGCAAGCCCAACATGGGTTGCGTCATAGGATGAGGTATGAAAGGAAACCGATTCCGCGTACTCAGCAGCCCAAGCCGTTTAAACTGTCGCTCAGCAATTTGCAATCTCTTACGACACACACATACACCTTAATCCCGACACTCCGAGCACAGCCGACGCAGACTCTGAATTCTTCCAACGTCTTCGACCGCGTGCTGCCCAGATCACCTCATCAAGTGGTCTTTCACTCAAATCGGCGAAGACTAACCGAGTCATCGGCCGGTAGCCCACTAGTATAAAGCAACTTGCCACCCGCGCTGGTCCCTTACTTTTCCTCCCGACCATTATGTTAGCGCTACCCACACAACGTCACCACCTTTCAACCATACCGTCACCACCGTCTTCACACTCCTCCTATCAACACCTGCCCCAGCAGTTTGCCGCACAACACCTCTACGACCAGAAGCTCCTCAACGACTACCTCGAGTCCCAGCAGCAGTCTTACGGCACTTCATCCAGCAGTGCACCCAACTCGTACATGACGAGCGCATACACCGACTTCGCGAACCCGGCCATCCGAATCCAGCAGTCGACACCCACACCGCAGCTTCCTCAGGGCTTCGCACAACCGCCTATGCTCTCGACCAGCAACACCAGCACGGGACTTGAGTCCTGGAACTATGGTAACGTGCAGGGCCAATCGCTCCAGACACCACACCAGAACCAGAGCCGCGGCCACCAGCGCGCATCGTCATCGTCTTCCGTAGGCTCAAGTGCCTCGCAATATCAGGCCGTTGGACCTTCCGCGGGCTACCAGTACGTCTCTCCCCCCCGAATACCCGCCTTCGCACGAAGCTGCGCCGGCTTACTCATCGAACGTGGCTGACATATATCCAAGGTCGTTCCAGAACCATCTCCCTACACCCACACATACACCTACCCAGGACTCGTTCATGAGCGGAAACAACTTCAACAGCAACTACACGCCAAACTCGGTCAACATGGACCACACCATGTCCGCACACATGTCGATGAAGCAAGCGCTCATGGAGCAGAGTGATGACGTACCAGACTACGCACACTCGGCCGGTCAATCAGTATCAAGCTACGGCCACGACTCTCCTGCCACGCCACACACTGCACAGGACGACATCGACTTCAAGATGCCTGCCAATGGTGAGAACCTCTGCAGGATAGACTCCTGGCTTTTCAATCAGTTTTGTACTTACAATGACCCAGACGCCCGCCCTATCCCCAAGTTCGAAAGGACCTACACCGACATTGCTGCCGACGCTGGCTTCTATGAACCCAGTGCCTCCGCCCAGGCGGTGTCTTCCAAGCCAGCTCAGTCGTCGCTGCTGTCGCCATACCGCAACAGCGCCAACGAGAACGTACAGCGTGCGCTCCAGGCAGCACAGTACGCTCGCTCACAGTCGCCAAGCAGCACTGCCTCAAGAAGTGACTCACCCTTCCGCAAGAGCTCACCCTACCGTCAGCCTAGCAACACGTTCAACTCGGCTATGAACACTGCTGTCGCGGCACGTGAGCAGACCCGCCAGGCTGATGCGGCTTACGCTATGAAGTCTCAGATGCAGCCCAGCGACGATTCTGAGCCAAAGACCATCTCGCCCAAGGACGCTCTGTTAGACTACCGGGAATCCGACGAAGAATCCAAAGTTCCATTGTTCCCAGACAGTGGCGCTAGCGAGTACGACAGCCAATACACCGGTGGCGACCAATATAGGACTGCCACCCAATCCAGCTTCGACACTCCATCATCACAGTCCTACCGTCGCGACAGCTGGGTAACACCACAGTTCTCACCAAACTTCTCCACTGCCCCCGCCCCATCATTACCACAGTCATCGAGCTTCACCTTCGCCACTCCATCAATACAGAACATGCACAGCATGCCTATGAACGCACCATCTCAGTATCGATCGACACCCAACACTATGTCGTCGGGCGTCGACCAGACACCAGAGTTCCCTGCCCACCTGACTTCAATGGAGTCAAGTGCGAGCGAAGCTGAGCCACCGAGCGGCAGCCAGAACAGCGTCCTTTCAGACCGCTACATTACGAAGCCAACATCGACGGGCGCCGAGTCTGGTACCTACTCATGCACGTATCATGGCTGCTCCCAGCGTTTCGAGACCCCACAAAAGCTTCAGAAGCACAAGCGTGAGGGTCATCGAAGTGCCAATCTCAGTCAGGCTATGACGTCGGCGGCTATTTTGGAGCGCAATTCGCAGGCGGGACCCCACAAGTGTGAGCGCATCAACCCCACGACCGGCAAGCCCTGCAACACTGTATTTTCGCGGCCCTATGACCTCACCCGTCACGAGGACACGATACACAATGCGCGCAAGCAAAAGGTCCGCTGCGCACTCTGTGTCGAGGAGAAGACTTTTTCGCGCAACGACGCATTGACACGCCACATGCGTGTCGTGCATCCTGAGGTCGACTTCCCCGGAAAGCACCGCAGGCGCGGAGGTAACCACGACTGAGCATGACCCGATGGCATGCGCGGTCGTGTTCCGCGGAGGCCGTGCCTCTGCCGCGCTGTCGCGCACCTTCCAGAACAGCCGCGACCGTTCCATGGCATGCACCTGATCATTTCACGCACAAATGCGACGCACCATGGCTCTCTCTGAGACCGGGCGATGTTGATACCCATGCCTCTTGCATTCGCGGTCACGCGGACACATTGAATTCAGTTGTCGCTGGTCCGAACTGAATCACCCGGCGTTCTGGTCACTTTTCTTCGACTGTACAGTATTCTGCTTTGATTTTCCAGCACATTCCTACGGACATGACTTTGAGCGACGAACCAGCGGGCGCATGGTACGATGATCTGACGAAAGAGATGGCTTCTGTATGTGCAACAAAAAAGCGATGATTTCCATAGACGACATCGCTGGCTCCCGTGGGCTTTGGTTTCGCCTGCGATTAGATTTCCTTACCTATTCTTCGATACACCCGGCTCCACTGGGAGCATTATTAATTTGTACAACACTTCACTATTCCTCAAATTGCGAAAGCCAGTTCTTCGTCTTTACATCGTACTCAGCAAAGTTTTGACAGCAAGAGGAGGGAAAACACAAGCGGATGTACTATATGCATTGTAGCTAGCAATGATACCCCAGAGTAATATCAACGTCAGCAATGTTCTATCTCAGCACGCAATATCTCTCTAGTGAACCCTCGTTCTTCTGTGACAGTTCTCTGGTGGTCGCCATGACGTGCATGTCCAGCTACCATCTGTTCGACATACCTGCACCCAGTAACGGCGACGCCGGTCTCAACCAGAATGCCTCCCTCTACAACCCTTCTACTGCAAGCATCGTACGTCTTCTTACACCACAGAATGAACAACACAAGCTGACACTACATCAAGGTCTCACACTCTAGATTCAGCCTCTCGACCCATGTGCAACCTCATCGGCTCTGCATACCACAAACAAAAGCACAAACGTCTGCACGGGCAGCAAGTAGTTCCCACACCCAGCACCTGTCAGCACCTTAATCCCCTGCCACCACCACCATATCAACCAAGCATACATCCGACTTTGTTCCCGCGGAGACGACTCTCCGACGCACAAATGCGGGCTGAAAAGCACATAAGCGGCAGAAAGGGAGCGCCGTGAGATCTGGACCCAGCAGATGCCGGTGCCGCCCGCGTCGGCCACGCTAGTGGGGTGTAGTAACACAGCCCTCAGCCTCTTTCTTATTATTTTTTTCGAGTGTGCATCTCCTATCAAACCCCGAGGAAGAATTTTCGGGGCATTCTAGAAGCCTTGTTTTTTGGTCTTTGATGTGTTGCACAGGGTTTGGCATTTCAAAGCAAAAGAAGAGTGGGAAATCGGACCGAGGCTCGGGGACAGCGATGAATGCGTCTATCTATAATGTATTATGTGCGTGTGCCTAGATAGACTCCCTGCTCCTACTCTGGTGTAAGGATGCAAGTAAATGCATCTATGATTCCATGGTTGCGTGACATACACCACCCATCACCGTCAAAAGAAGAAGAAATGTGGATAGAGCAAGTATCACAATGGTATCATAGCCCGCAACCAACCATGTTAACCTCCCCCCGAACCAAATTCATCAGCTTGCATATACAGACCACATGGTTTGACATGAATGGCGTGGTTCCATTCCGCTCGGTACACTTTCACCGAGCAGACGTGACCCAACGCATGTGGGCTCCACCGAAAAACGTCGGATCTGGGCCTTGCCTACCCACGAACGACGAGGTGCAGTGCGTCCGGGCCCTGGCTTGTGGGTGCATGTGTACCACAGTGATTCGACCTATCGGAATTGTGCTGAGAGTAATGTGGGACGCACGTTAGGTGGGTTTTGGCGTGCTGGGGGAACCGGCCGATGCGGTTGGACTGCAGGACGTCATGTAGGGCTGAGAAGAGCGCTGGGGATCGCGCGAAGCGATTTGGTAGTAGTATCGATAGTAACGGCTTTGACGGCAGGAACGACTTCACACATTTCGCTGGTGCGGCTGTAGAGTTCGCATGGCTTGTTTCAGAAAACCAAGGTCGCGTCGTTGTTGGCGCTGGCGTTGGCGCTGGTAGGACCTGACAAGACACGGCTGTTGACGTCGTTTGTGTGTGTTTAGAGTTCTGGGGAAATCCGGTTCGGGACCTGTCGACGTCAGAGTGTCAGATAGCGAAGAACATCTTTGACGGAAATGGTTCATGCGTCCAAGACGTGTGCCGCGGAAGGTTTTTACTCGCCCTGGAAAGAAGGTGTCATTGTTCTTACGCTAGAAGATCGTCACGTCTATGGGTACGTGGGTTAAGCGGTGACCCTTTCAAGGTTTGTTCGGCTCCACGCGCATGACGCCCGTTATCCACTGTTTGGCTTTGACTACATCCGATGTTCCGCGGAGCGTGCTGCATGTTGTTTTGGGTAAATATCTCGTTGCGAGTTTATGCGCGAGGGTTATATGATGTGAAGTCATCGGAAGGGAACTGTCGCGTCAGTGTTTACTGATCATGATGCGCTGCTTGTTCATGGTCGTGGAACGATTGGTTCGAGTTGTTATTATGTATGCGCGCGTGCACGATTCTTCTGCGGTGCAGACATATTGCGCGCATGTATTTTGATGAGATGTGTTCGGAGATCTGAGATGGTAAGGTGCATATGGATCGCGATGGCGAGTCTCCATGGACCTAACTGGTTTGTACATATACACCGTACCAATGTACTTCAACAACTCATGCATCATCGATATATGCGAAGACTGATGTCCCAAGAACAAGCGGTATCACTCTACTCGACTCCCATCTGGAATTTTGACGGTGATATCTTGTCCTTGGTAACATGGAAGAATACATGTTGTGCCTCATGGGTGATGTCCCAAGCTGACACTACCGTTTAAACATGACCAGAATACGACATACGCATAACGGTGAGCTTTTATCCGTGTCTTCTAGATATGGGGCAACATGTCCGACCATTCCACACTGCGGAAGCTACTTGCAGGAAGAGCCCTAAGGCCAGCAAATCCTTCTAGAATGATGAAAGTTCGCGCAATACCATATGACCCCATTTGCGTCACCATGAGAGCGTACTGAAAAAAAGGGTGTAGCCGATCGATGTATTCTGTAACGGTATTGACTTGCGGAATACCTGCCAACCGACAAAAGGCAGGCATTTGCCAGATCATCAAGATCCAAGTGTTACCGAATAGAAAACCACATCCGATAAGCAGTAGACAGGCGGCCCGTGAGAGATCACGTTCCAACGGCGTTGGATAGCTGAAGTTCCATGCGGCAAAGTGAATTAAGATGAAGGTGAGTGATATGATCGTAGAAATTCCAATCTCGGACGGGGTCACCTTCCCGGGATTCATACGCAAGGTATCTCGGAATCGGGTAATTGGGACATTCGAGCGGGTGCTCACTGGAATCAAGTGCTCGAAGCACCACATGATAGGATCGAGAATCTGGAAACGATCCGGTGGCGAGTTGATAAAGTCGAGTGGTGTGGATTTGAAGGGTTGTTTGGCTGCATCCCCTGCTAAAGCCAGTACATCACCTAGTCGGAGTGATCCTACGAGGTGTAATGTCTCCGTCGTGTCAACGTCGAGGGGCTTATGGAACCAGAAGTAGAATGTCGGAAAAGTACACAGCACGATGGCTACGACATCAAGCTCGAGCATCGAGACAGCCAAGTGCTGAACAGCACGACCGATGCATTGAAGTGCATACCAGAAGATCTGAACGGATGTAAGGATACGTACGAAAGCGTCTGCTTTGTTCTTGTCCTGGAGGGTTTCGCGTTTTATCGTGGGGAAGTCGAGGAAGCCATTTTTTACAAGGTAGTGAACCTGGTGGGCGTTGATGGGAAAGCGTGGATAGTCTGGGGCATCAAGCACAAAGCCACCCATGTCGGCGAAGAAGGCGTGCGTCATGGACCATTCAGGATACCCGAGTTTATGAAACGCGGCCACAGAGTGTCGGGCAGAGAGATATTGGACCTGGGCGAACGACGCAAGGATCTCAGGAAAGAAGATGGTGAATGCAACCCATGACAGCTTTGTCGACAGATACGATCGGCAGTCGTGCTTTTCGGGTATATTCAGGAAAACGACAGACCAACTGCACAAAAAGACAGTGATGACGCAGCTCCAGATGATATCGATTGTGCCGCGTTCATTTGGCGAGGCAATCCAGCCATGTACCAGGGCGGTGTTCATCCAGTTGAATTATGCTCGTAAATGTCTAGACTTGTGTTGTCATATATTGAGTAATTTCTTGCGCGGTAAGCCACTTTATGGGACCTCATCGTTCATGAACATTAAGCCAAGTTGTGAAGATGGCGCTTTCTTGAGCCGCATTTCAGGTCGAGGGGCGTCTTATTGTTGCACACATCGGTCAGATAGCAGTACGTTTGCGTCATGAACCATCTGATATGGGTAAGTGAACTGATGTGAGCCTGGGATTGACAGCCACATGATAAGTACCAAGTTGTTCCATTGGTTTGGACGAGGCTGAACCAAGGCTGGGCTGCACGAGGCTGCGTGGGGGCGGAAACGGCAGGAACTTGCAGCGGACGAAGAACGGGAAGATGGGCTCGGGGGAGGCCGCTCTACCCGTACCTTGGAGGTTAGATCGCTAGCAGTGGTTGTATCAGTATTGGCGATGGGGTGGGTTTGATAAGATGGTCTGTACCTCACCGCGGAAGATATGCCGGTGCTAAATCTGGTGAGAGTATGGACATATCGGTATTGTGCATGGTAGTACACAGCAATTTGTCGGGCGTAATTCATCCGTCGGTGCTGAATAGGTTGCCGATATGGTAAACATGCCGGTGGTGGAAAGTGACGGGGCTGATACATTTTGACGGGCGTGGATGTTCGACGGAGCTGAATGATCTGCCGCGCGTGAATGGTCTGTCGGGGCTGAACAGTTTGACGGGGCTAAATAGTTTGACGGGGCTGAATAGTTTGACGGGGTTGAATGGTCTGCCGCGCGTGAATGTGTCACTGCTGAATAGTGTCGGTATAGTAAGTTGCCGGGCATGATTAATATGCCGGTGCTGAATGGTTTGCCGGTATGGTAAAGATGCCGGGCGTGAATCACATATCAATATGGGAAGATATGCCGGGCGTGAATCGTTTGCCGATATGGTAAACATGTCGGAGCTGAATCCCTTGCCGGGCGTGAACGGTCTGCCGCGCGTGAATCACTATCGATAGCGAGTCATCCTGCCGGTATGGAAAGAACTGTCGGGCGTGAATCATTCGCTGGTATGGTAATCTCTCGGTGCTGAATAACCTTCCCAGCACTTGCGACTGCAGAGACTCGAACTCAGCGTCCGCTTAGATACACGACCAGGGCACGAGACGCAATCGCACATCTCTGGAGACACACTCAGCGTAATGCCATGCTTCATTCAAGTACACAAACACTAAACCCACCAATCCGTTATTGCAACGCCATATCCTACAGCTCACATACAAGAGCGTTTCGCCGAACCAGGTAAAATATGCCTTTTCTTCCATGTCTTCTGTCATGCCATCGCGCGCCCGCCGGAAACGAAACAAGTTGTGTGTAATCGACGACGATTCTAGGTGAGCTTCTGCTTGATGAAGAAAGCTCGCAAGTGCGATAGTTGCCAGACGCATGTCACACCCAGGATAACGAGTTGGATGAGTGTCCAGCGGACGACGCGGGAGTTAGTGTGTTCGGACTGGTCGCGGAATTCGGCTTCGCGCTCCTGCAAAAGGTGTTAGCCGGTGTCTTCCTATTATCTCTCCCAAGGATGAGTGGACGCCAAACGTACTCTCTGGAAGACCTGTTCCCTCCTCACGTCCTGCAACCTCGAGTTCAAGTCCTTGACTTTCTGCACCAGCGTCTGGACCTTGTCCTTGTCGGTGCTCTCGATCCTGCTCGTCTCTCCGATCGCCATGTCCAGCGTGAATTTGACTGTGCCGTGTACGCCTGAGCTCAACCAGCCACCGCCGCTGCTTGGTACGTTCTGGGGTGTTACGCAGATCCTATGTTGACCGCTGTCGGCAGCGCTGAAGGTGAAGCGTCCGTTCGAGCTACCCCGTTGGGCAACGATACGGTGGTTGTTGTCGAATGTCTCCTCCACGGTGACGAAGACGCCGACGTCGGGCTTGGTTTGGTAGGTCTTGGTTGCGTCGTCCCATGCTTCGGCGTGGTAGTGGCCTGGGGTTTGTTAGCCATGGGTCCCTCCGCTGACTCTGCGACGTCTCCAGGCCAGGAGACTCATATGTAAGGAAGCGTCGTACCAACAACCAGCGTGTCCTTGGGCAATTCCTCGTAGAAGCACTTCTGGACCGCTCCGTCCATGAAGAAGTGCAGCGCTTGTGACGGCACCGCCAGCGCGGCTGCGAGCAGCAATGTTGGTTTCCACATGTCTGCGATTCTGCTTCCCCGCGGAGGACTGATTGTAGCGCGGAGTTTGAGTATTGGGTGAGCTGGTCACTTGGGAATCTTGAATCTCGTATGCTCGAGATCGCGAAACTCCAGGTGTACGTTCCGAAAGCGGTTAGACCTCCGACACGTGCCCACGTCGCTCCCTCCGGGGCGTCTTGAGACTACAGCACCGCGACTTCACCCGCAGTTCTTTACTATCCTCCCTTTCGAAACTCCATTTATCAACAGAGACGTCAGATTATGACGATATATGCATTTCGGAAGCTCGACACAATAACTGTAAAGGGCTGCTGCAGTTGCTGATGGCAAACCAAAAGTACTGTCGTCGTAGTGTGAAGACAACATAGTATGCTACTACATGCAGCTGGATAGATGCGAGATCACGTAAGATTATCCTCATTGATCTAGTCGATCCAGCGGCGATTATACCAGGAGTCGACTCAATCCAGACACCTCCGAGGCCAACCCCGCAACTACAACATATAACCTAGGTAAACAGATTGTGTGCATGTTTTCAGCCGCATCGACGATATCCACCTTCTCTCCCTCTTGTATCCCGTCTCTCTTGGATTCTATCTTATAAAACTTCTTTCCTGTCAAGTACTACTTTGGCAAAACCACATCCATCTCAGTCTCGCTATAACCAACCATCCACACAAAAACCACCCACAATGACACTTTTCACGCCCTCTCCCTCCGCCCTCAAAACCCTCTCCAGCACCCCAAAAACAATCCTCATAACCGGCGGCTCCTCCGGCATAGGTCTCGCAACAGCAACCCTCCTCTCATCCCTAAACCCATCCCACAACCTCATCCTGCTCGATCTCCAACCGCCACCTCCATCTTTCAAGCACGCAGCTTCCAACCTGCTCACCCACACCTGCGACATAACCTCCTGGGCCTCCCAACGCGGCGGTTTCGCAGCAGGCTACGCGCGCTTCGGCCGCATAGACTGTGTATTCGTCAACGCAGGGATAGCCGAAAATGGCGACCAATTCTTCAACGATGCATTGGATAGCGAGGGGGAACTGGCAGAACCAGATCACCGAACGCTGACGCTGGACATGAATGCCGCGGCTGCTACGACTAAACTCGCCATCTACTACTTGCGGAAAAACGGGTCAGAAGGTGGTTCTATTGTGTTGACGGCGAGTTTAGCGGGGTATCTGGCTTCAGCGGGTGCGCCGTTGTATTCTGCGGCGAAACATGGGGTGGTGGGCTTGATGAGGGCGTTGAAGCAGGAATGTGCGAAACTGGGGATTAGTATTTCGGTTGTTGCGCCTGCGATTACGGTTACGCCGATCTTGACGGCGAATAACACTAAGTTGGCTATGCAGCCTGATGCGTACGCGAAGCAGATGGCAGAGGCGGGTGTGCCGATTAATCGACCTGAAGCTGTGGCGTTGGCGGTGTGTTGGTTGTTCAATGAGGGCAGCAAGGCGAATGGTGCTGGCATATTTATTCAAGCGGATCGATTTGCGGATTTGGAGACAGGGCTGGCGAAGAGCAGGCAGGCGTGGATGGGTAAGGAGATGTTGGATCTGTTTCGTGGGGGAAGAAACGCGCCGTTGTTTGCAAGACTGGAACAGGAGGAGGTCAAGGCGAAGATATAAGTAGTTGCATGAGGTAGGATGATGTTGTACATTCCTGCGTTATGCAGTGGATAGTGATGCATCGTAGCTAACAATACCAATAGGGCTATTCCAGTCCCCTATCCATATTCATATCCGTATCATTCTCCCAGTGATGCCAATGACGAATGTTTTCCCTTCTTGTCAATCCAATCCCAACGCCATCGCTATGCTATCAAAAGCAGAAGTCAAAAGTATAAACCACACTCCCAGTCAAAGCCAGCCCCCTCATTTCCTCGCCCGTTTGCTACTGACTTCACTGCCTTGAGAGAAGACACTGGCGCTCCGCTTATGGCTTTGTCCCGTCGCACCTTGACTGGTTGCTCGAGACTGCTGTTTACTACTCTCATCTTCGCCTTCTGCATCCACGTCGCCATCGTCGTCTTCGCCGTTGAAACCACCCTCATCTTCTTCACCTTCGGCGTCATCATCGGGGTTGTCAGCGTCGTTGTTATCTTCGCGGTCGTCCCTATCGGCTTCGGCATCATCGCCGTAGTTTTTGTTGACGTCGTCTTCGTCTTCCTCGTCGTCATTCTCCCCGTCGGCGTCGTCGTCCCCACCGGGTGTTTGTTGTTGTGATTCAGGGACTTCTTGTTTTGGTTGTCCTTCGCCTCCTTCACCACCGCCATCTCGTCGGGCCTTCATAGCAAGCAAGACTTTGCACTCTCCCTCCTCCTTCTCTCGGACCTTACGCACGTCGAGTAGCTTGCTAACTTTCGATACGAGATTCTCAAAGACTTCGCCGACCTTGCTCGTTGGTATGCTGACGATGTCACTAACGCCCAACGCCGCGAGCATTTGGCCGATCTTTTGTGTCTGGACGTTGCTCTTTGCTTGTCGCATCTTAAGCA